GTTTTAAGTTTATTTGTTAAAAACTTAGATAAATGATGGTTTTTCTTAGAGAAATGCTGTCAAAAATTTTTTTGGACATAGATGGATTCTGCATAACAATAGTTTATATAATAGTTATCCATGTTACTCTCTTTCCGTTTATTCTCTTATCTCTCAAACCCATAACTAGCAAACTCCTTACTTTCATACTTTGTATTATAATCTTCTGATTCCTTCATATATCATGGATGATACGACTCATTATTGCACTTCAATATATGTATCTGCAACAGTTTACTTTTTTTAAAATGAAGCTATGGTCGAAAAAAATTATCAATTCTCTGTCGATTCAAAAATTAAAGTTCCTTCATTCATTGGTTCATTAACTATTCCTGATGAATCAAAATATCAGAAATATATTGATTCTATCAAACTCTCAGATCTTAACCGAGAGATGATTAATAACAGGACTGAACTTATTGTAATATCCTTATTTCTTGAACTTTTATCCAAAAATTTAAAAACAACTGACCAGAAATTCCAGAAAGATCATATGAGTTACGGGTTTTAGATTATCTTAGAACTTAACATCTATTTATTAAAAAATATGCCTTCTTTTTTGTATTCTTTATATAATTAGTGCAATTATATTCTTTTCACAATCGTTGAATGTTATTGTCTATGGAATAATTTTAAGACCTTTGTTATATAATGACATGGATAAAAATAAAGATAAAAATAGAAAACAACTAGAAGAATTAAAATCTCTTAAAACAATCATTAAAGAATGGTTAATTATTTCAATATTCTATACAAAGGCCCTTCATGGGTAATCCATGGTTTTCATCAAGTCCTCATGATTTATGGTCCATCAGATATATAACCAAGATTTTAAAAACCTGCCTGTCTTCCTGTCTGAAACGATTTTAAATGCAATATGACCCTTGGGTACGCATTTGGAATATGTTCTGCTTTTTTAATAAACGGGTTACTTCTATTAATAAGCGGATTACTTCTTTTAATCATTTTCTCGCTCGGATTACTTTATTGAACATTATGAAATTACATGATGGGAATGGTGCCCACTTCGCTAGCATGCTACTT